ACATATGTGCACCTGTGTGTGCATGTGTGTGTGTGTGTGTGCGTGTGTGCTATGCTGAGGGAGGGAGGAAGGGACGAGTCAGAGGACAAGGCTGCTCTTACCTGCACAGTGCTGGAGGGAGTCAGCAGCTTGCTGAGCAGGTCTGACACTCAGCTCAGTTTCTAGACCCCACACCCTGCAGTCACAGGCTGGAAAACAGAGCGTCAGCCCTGGGAGCCCTCAGGGTCAGTGGGGATCACTGCGGGCAGGGGCTTCTTTCCACTGGCAAGGACATTGGACAAGGCATGTGTGAGGCTGGAAGGGACCTTCCTGCTCCCAGCTTGCTTCCACCCTGTGCCACCGGCTGGCTCTTCCTTCTGTCCTGATCTCTGCTGATTTATTGGGCCCAGGGCTTCCAGGGCAATATTGTATCCAGTTCTGTGGCCTGATGACAATGTGGAACCTGGCACGTGGCAGAGGTAAGAGGTGTTAGACGAGGTGCTGGTCCCTCCTGAGTTACCCTGGAACACCTGCCGAGAGTTCACATGCTCATTATGTGTCCCTCGTGGAACCCCTGTTGTGGCACTTGAGCTGGAGGCCTGTGTGATGTGGCAGTGTCCCAGTGACCTGGCTGCCTGTTTGACCCACTGTGGCACCAGCAGGGCTGCGTCCTGGGCCGTGTCCCTCAGCATCGTCAGCACGGGGTTTAGAGTGTGACCTGCCGCAGGCAGTGCTCTGCGAGGGGATGCTGAGCTGCCTGGCCCGCCTGCTCCTCTGGGCTTCCGGGGCCATGGTCCTCCTTGGTTCAGCACCAGCCRACAGAATGCCTGGGGGAGTGTGAAGTGTGACCAAGCAGGATGGCATCAGGAAAGGACCCTGCCACTCCCCGGCCACCCTCCCACCCCCTACCCGCCGCTGGGGCAGTGCCGTTGCTGGTCTGTGTTGGAACTGCCGACCTCCCTGAGCCTCCGCTGGCACTGGGTCTCTGCCTCCTCTCTGTGTGTGGTTTAATCACCCAGCCAAACGAGGCCCTCTCGTTAACTTGAAGAGAGAATCAACCAGATGTTAGATATTTGAAAAAATTTCAGGATTCTGGAGTTTCGCCTTTGTCCTTCATCTCTTCCTTCTGAATGGTTTTTCTAGATGAAAATTAATTTTGTCTAAATTGATCCTTCAACATTGGTATTTGAAATCTGATGTCTTGTTTTTCCAAAGTGAGGCCAGGCCTTCCAGGTGCTGTGTGATGGCCAAGCCCCTCAGTGGAGGGGCTAATGTCTGACCACATGAGTGGTCGGCCCCTGTGGAGAGCCCCTGCTCCTGTCCATGGTTAGGCCTCGGGATCGGCGGCTGCCCTCCTGACCACTGTAGTTCCTGGAAGCCGTGTTCTGTGCGACTTCATGGCCAGTCTGCATGGGGTCGCTCACCTCCTGCCCACTTCTAGACTAGCAGTACTGCCTCTGTCAGGCAGACGCAGGCTGTCATCCACGGAAACCCAGCTGGGCCCACCCTGCTCTTCTCCCTCCTGCCACGCCTACCCTGAAAGGGTACTGCTGGGGTCACGGTCAGTGTTCCCATCAGGCCCATGGATGTTTTTGGGTTGTTGGTTCCGATGAAGACTGTAGATGGTGCCCCATAAAGAGAGGTCAGGGTCAGCGCCTGGCCCTAGCCATCTCTGTGTCCCTGGAATGGGGTCCTTGGCATGTCGGGCATAGCGTCTTATGTGAAGTGGCCCCAGACTGGATACCTGGATGGTGATTTGTGTTTGTGGCCTACACTCTGTAAACATTTCACAGATTAACCACATTCAAGTGTCAACTGGTTTTTGTTTAGTTGGAGTCACCTAGTTACGTGCATTCCACTCTGGTGGTATGGCCTGGATCACGTTGTCAGCGTCACTTGGCAAAGGGGATAAGCAGATGCCTTCCTGCCCTTATCAGGAGCCCTGGGGTCCCTTCTCTTTGATCCTTTAGCATTTCCTGGAGCACTCAGCCTTTCCCTGGCACTTAGCACTTCCCTGGCAGTTAGCACTAACTGTGGCACTGAACAGCTCCCGTGGCACTGAGCACTAACTACAGCACCCAGAATCTCCCATGGTACTTAGCCCTAACTGTGGAACTCAGCATATCCCATGGCACTGAACACCTCCCGTGGCACTTAGCACTAACTGTGGCACTGGCACCTCCCTGGCACTCAGCACTAACTATGGCAGTCAGCATCTCCTGTGGCACTTAGCACTGACTGTGGCACTTAGCACCTCCTTGGCAGCCAGTACCTCCTATGGCACCTAGTACTTCCTGTACCATCCAGCATCTCCCATGGTTGTCCCTGGGTCCTTGGGTCCTTGGGTCCTGCGTGACAAAAAACTGGCCGGGTAAACCTGTTATACCCTCTCTTCTTAAGTGGTCTTTTGAGATGTGCTATGACCCTATGATGGTGAGGCACAGTGATTCCTTTTCCTCCCTGACAGCCGATGGCCTTCTCCTGGATGATAACAGGAACCTCCCAGTGTCTTTCTGCTTCCACCCTGTCCTCTGTGATCCTCAGCTTGGTGACCATGAGCCAGTCTCCCTTACTCTGTAGCATTTCCCRTTTAGTCTGGGACTTACAGCCCTGGCAGGGACTTTCTGGTTCCTGCAGCCACGTGGCACGGTGTCGCCATCACGGAGGTCTGTGAGCTCTGAGAGCTAGAATTTGGACAGGTGTGTGGGCTGGTTTGTCTTTCTGTGATGTCTGGGTCCCTCTGGTGCAAAGGCACAGCACCGACAGCCTATCAGGCGCATCTGGGGTTGATGCTGGCTGCGGGCTAAGGCCTGTGCCTGGCTCTTGGCTCCACTCCTGCACGTGGCTCCATGGGACATGGGCTTTCTCATGGTGTGGTGGCCGGCTCCCAGGACAGGGGGCCAGGCAGAAGTCGCATGGAATCCCATCACACTTGGGTGTGGAATGGTCACAGCCTGTCCAGATTCCTGGGAGGGAAATGGGCTTTGTCTCTGCATGGGGAGCAGAAGGTTCTAGAACAGTGTTTGGGGCCAAAGGCATGCTGGGGCCCCGTTTGGGAGCACAGTCTGCCCCGTGGCCATGTGACTGGGCCTGGGTTCTGCCTGCCTTGTCTCTTCTCTCCTTGGAGCACTGGGCCCCAGCCACTTTGTGGTGCACTCTGGGTGGCTCCGGCCCTGGGACCTTCAGACTGGCTGCCCCTCCGCTTTCCCTGCTCAGCTCAGGAAGCTTGCCAGCTCTCCCCTGCCCTCTGTGAGCTATTACTCAGGTGTCACCTTCCCAGGAGGCCTACTCTCCCCGCTCCGCGGCCCTGATTGTCTTTCTTGAACTTGCTCTGGCACAGTACTTACCTTAAGTTTCTAAAGAACTTTTGTGTTACTCTCAATCATCGCCCGGTTAGGATGACTGCTGCAGAAGCAGGAGTCTTGAGCTTTTCTGTTTGCTGACCTTTCCCAAGGGCATGGGATGTGGAGCAGGAAGAGCTTCTCCGGTTGGGACTTTGGAGCTTGCTATACTTGCTCCAGATCAGCTGTTGAGCAGAGCTCTACTCTGTAGAGCCTCTGGTGACAGCCAAATCCCCACTCGCAGACAATACCTGGCACGTGGCAGGTGTTAAAAAAAAAAGAAAAGCCAGTCAGCCCTCTGATCTGGGGTTCTGCATACATGGATCCAACTCACCTCAGATTGGGACTATTTGACAAAACCCATGTCTGTACTAAACAGAGTGACCTTTCCCTAGTCTCTATCCCACAGGGTGTAGCAACTATTCACAGGCCATTCCCACCATCTGAGGCAATGCCAGGAATCCAGGAGGATTTACATCATGCAGGAGGATGTGTGTAGGTTACATGCAGGTTCTGTGCCCTTTTATAGACGGCACTTAGCATCTCAAACTCTGGCATCTGGGAAGGGTCTTGTTGCCCACCTCCTGGACACCGGGGATAATTATGTTGAACAAATCACCTGGAAAAACACTTAGCACATGACATAAACAGTTTTATTGCCCAAGTATTTCTTTCTTTATTATGAAGCAATGAACCAAAACTTCTGATTGTTTTTTTTTTTTGTGTGTGTGTGTGTAAATATTTAGTTTCTTTGCAAGGAGGTCCAGGGTGCATTTCTAGCTTCTTCCGTACGCCTGACCCTACTCCAACATACACGTTGGCAGAGCAGGATTCCAGACTCCAGGGGTGCCATTTGGGGCAGGCGAGCCTCTGCTTTGTGGGTTCCCCCAGTTCACAGTGGTGGTGAACTGTGTAGACTACCTGCAGTGTGGACTACCTGGAGACTAAGTGGAGTCCAGAATGAGGCCAGCAGGGAAGCTGCCCTGACAGTGCCATAGCCACTACAGCCCCCTCTGCAAGCGCCACCCCTGCGGGTGCCCTTCAGAGCACTCCATGCCCATACTCAGCATCTGGGGAGGAGCTGTCCAATCCTCAGAGCCTGACCAGGGGTGCAGGTCTTCCTTATGTCCAGCGCTTGCTGCCACTTGCCCCTTCTGCATGTATTTGGTGACTGGTGTGCTCTGCATTGACTCAGATGGCAGCTGGCCTCACTGGAAGGTTAGAGGTGGCTGGCCTCACTGAAGGTTCAGATGGTGGCTGGCCTCACTGGAGGGTTGTGCCAGTGGGTGGGCCTGTGGTCCTCAGCTGCATCCCCTGTAGAGCAGAGTTTGCTCCACACTCTGTTCTCTTCCCTATGTCCCACAGCTGAGCTGGCTGCAGGTGGGGAGGTGCGTGGAGCACCCGTGACCACTGGGTGGTCAGTGTGTGGCCTGGAAGGAACCAAGCCAGGATGGCATAGTGAGGGTGCTCCCACCTCTGACTCCCTCAGAGATACCCACAGCCTCAGCCTCCTTCCCCGCACAGGACACAGGGCCCTGCCGTGATGGGCCTCATTGTTTTCCTGACACAGGAGGCCTCTGTTGCCAGAGGCATGGCCATGATCCTGGACCATCCCGGGCCTGTGTGGTTCTGGTTCCTGTCTCACTGCAGGGACATTCACGTTGCACTTCTGTTTTGCAGAAGCGAGTGTGAAGGAGAAGACCGTTAAGTACATGGAGGTGCTTGAGGGAAACCTGTGCAGGTAAGGAGAATACCTGCACCACAGACCCCGGGCGCACCTGGAGGCTCCATGAGGGTTCACCGGAATTTAGTCCARTCTGTGAAAAGGGCTATCCAAGAAAAAGTGAAGTCCTTTGGGCCCCCAGGGAAGGAGCAGGTGCAATACAAATATCTCTTGGCCCAGGTTTCCACCTTTACAAAGCAAATCGCCTGAGATGCTTGCTGTGTCCTGGGGAGAACACAGGACAGCCTTCATGTCCCTTGGTAAGGACAAGCATGGGATTCCGCCCTCATGCCTTGTGAACCCGTTTAGACATGGTTTGAACAATACAGAAATGTGCGTTGTCGTAGGTTCTGTTTTGAATCCTGAATCAACCAGCGTGAACATTCCTGGTTGCTTTTTTTTAACCCAGTTAGGAATTCAGACGCGAGGACCCTCAGGCAGCTGTGGCATGTTGAGATGTTTCTGGCTCTCCTCTTGTGTACTTCTGAAAACGAACCAGCCGCCTGGCTCTGCTCCTAATTAAGGAGCCAGTTTGGGAATGTAGAATGTGCTCTCCGCCCTGGGAGGCATTTGGTTTTAGGGCAATGTGTTGCTACTATTTTGGATGTGGTTAAGTAGCTCTTCAGAAAGGCCACGCCTGGGACCTGTCCTGGGACAGTGCCCTGGGCCCACAGGTCTCCCTGGGAGTGGTGGAGCCAGCTGTCAGGGGTAGCGGGGCACTCGCTCTAGAGGTTTTGTTCTCCTTGTGGAAAGTGATACACCCTCTGCCTGGCCATTCCCTGCCTCTCACACCTCAGACTGTTGAAAGTGGCCAGTGGGGAGTGGGGGAGGCTCTGCCCATTGATGTGGCTTGGCCTGAGGCAGGAACCTTGGGCTCAGGCTGGCTCCCTGCCCTCTTGTTCCCCTCAGTCCCCAAGTCTGGTCGACCCTGCCTCCTGGGCACATTGCAGGGCCACCTTTGTCTGCTTGTGCACTGGCCTCTCCGGGAATGGCCAGCTCACAGCGCGGCTCCCTGCCCCCAGTGTCCTCCTTGTCCTCTGTCCTGAGGGCCCCGAGTGTGTGTCTTAAACACAGCCTGGCATTGCAGGTGGCTGCCCTTTGTCCTCAGCTCATGTCCAAATGCCTTCCCAGTGCTCACAGCTTCTCCTGGTGATTGCGTCCTCAAGGGTCACCATCACCAGCCATCCCCCTGTTCCAGTGTGTAGGTCCTCCTGCTCTTTCCAGGCCTCTGAGTTTTCCTAGAAGAGGAGCCACCTCAAAGGGGAAAGGGTATCCTTCCCCAGGGCACCTGGCATGTGCCAGGTGGYTCCACCCCTCTTCCTCGGCCTGGCCTCCAGAGGCCTTTCCCAGCTGCACACCAATGGACCTTGGTGGGTCCAGTCCTCACCCATCCTCGGGGTTAAGTGCCTTCTTTGAACCTGCTGTGGCTGCCCACCCCTGAGCAATGGTCTTGCACTCTGCTCTCCGGGCTGCCTGGGGCGTCCGGCAGGGCCATGAGGCCACCTGTCTTGTCTAGGAGTGTGTCCGCAGGGACTTGCCAGTGCTGACATCAGGTGCCCAGAAGCCTATGCTTGTGTGGATGGTTCAAGGAACACAGCCAGGTGGTAGACACCCATGTCCTCTCCCATCCCCTCCACTGCTCTCTCTGCCTCTCCAGCCATGCAGATGCCCCCAAGCTACCTGTCTTTGACCTCTTGACTCACGTCCATTGGCACCTAGAAGGCCTCCACATTGTCCTGTGGCCAGGGTGGTGGCTGGTGGGGCAGGAGTTGACCAGGTAGCCAGGGTGTATACCCTTGAGAAGGCAGTTTTATAGGTGCCTCAGATCAGAGTGGACACTGCCGAATGGGTGGTGAGGGCCAGCCCCTCATGTGGCTGTCCCCAAGTGGTGATAGCTGTGCTCACATGCCCTGATGACCATCTCCTCTGATGGTCCATCACATCTCTTCCTCTCCAAGGAAACAACACCTGAGGCACAGAAATGGTTTTCTGCCCTGGTGTAGTTGGCCTCATGGTGACCGCTCAGTGCACACTGCAAGGCATCAAGTGACTAAAGCAGGTGGCAGATGCTGGCCAAAGCCCCAGTGGCATCCCGTGGCCTGACAGGGCTTTGGAAAGAAAGCCGCCCAGAGCTGGCTGGTCTACTCCCTCCTGCTGGGCCACTGCAGGGGATGCCCTTTAAGGGCATTGCACAGGGATTCCGGTCTGGCCAGTTTTGGTACAAAGACACAAGCAGATGGCCACATGGACTTTGTCATTCTCTAGGTGTACAGAGACCTGGACACTAGGTGCAGTCAGAGGGCTCAGCATCCCTGTCTGTGGGAAAGTCAGTGAGCTGCTAGAGGAGGGTAGAAGCCAGTAGTGACCCAGGGAATCCATGTGGCACAGAAGAGAGCTGGGTGCTAGAGCAGGGCTTGGCTGCAGTCCTCCGCCTTGGAGTCAGGTGCACATGCATAACGGCTCTTCCTCCACAAAGGTGAGACACCGCAGGAGGTCTCTGTTTGATCTTTTTTTTTTTTTCTTTTTATTTTTTTATTGGTCGTTCATAACATTACATAGTTCTTAATGATCTTTTCTTGGCACAGGTGCCTCTTTCTCCTCTGTGTCACTCTGCCAGAGGGAGGCAGCAGTCAGGCTGCCTCTCCAAGTGTCCCACCTGTTCCCACAGAGTAGTGGAGCCTCTTCCTAAAGGCCTCTCCCACATCAGCCCGCACTTTTCCATAGCAGGACTGACATCATCACTGCTGGGCCCCCTTGACCCCTGCATAGCTGCTGGACCTGCCACATCCCCTGGGCTCCTGTGAGGGGCTGCAGCCTGCTGTTTCAGTCTTGTCTGCAGTCCCCACCGCACGGTGCCCAAGGCGCCCCACTTGCTGGACTCCCTGGGTGTCCAAGTACCCTGTGCAGCTCCGCTGCAGAGTCCCCTGCTGCCCCACAAACACTCACACCAAGACACAGTGCACGTGTTTTGGCAGACTTCGCTCCTCCAGGGCGTATTCCATGTCCCACCAGCCTGGTGTTCTGGAGGTGGCAGGCTGTCTGGCACATGGTGAGCCTAAATCAGATTTAGTGTTCAAATCAACGGATCAATAGCTGTCACCTCTTGACACTTTATTCTTAACTATTAGATTCAAAAGTCAGTGACTTGAGAAGACGTAGCATCCAAACCCACATCCTGGCCATCAGATCTCAGTGGTAATGACGGGAGATTAGAGAGACCGGAGGTGAGGTGTCCCCCAAAAGCTCACATGTGAGACAGTGCAAGAGGGTTCAGAGGAGCGGCAATTGGGTTGTGAGAGCCTTAACCCAATCAGTGAATTAATCCCCTGGTGGGATTAACTGAGTGGTGACGGCAGTGGTGGGTGTGGCTGGAGGGGTGGTAACTGGGGCGTGGCTCTGGGCATATATTCATATCTGGCAGCGGAGTCTCCCTCTGCTTCCTGATCGTCATGTGAGCCATACTCTTTGGTCATGGTGTTCAGCCTCACCCTGACCCCTGAGGAATGGAGCTGGCCTTCTGTAGACTAAGACCTCTGAAACTGTGAACCCCCAATAAACTTTTCCTCCCCTGAAATTGTTCCGGTGGCATTCTTTAGTCACAGAAGTGAAACACGTGGCTAAAATAGATGGCAACAGCCAATCCTGCCCTTGAAGCTCTGTGCCACATACTCTCCTCCAGGCCCGCATTCAGAGGGGATGGTGCAGGATTGTGTTGACTTAGTTTTCTTTCCCTCGTGGCTGAAGGGTTTTCATTTCTCTTATCTCAGTTATTATGTGCTCTTTGTTATCCTCCTTTATCATGGGGTCAAAAGAAGCTTTCCGTCTTTACTTTGTAGATGGGCTATTTTTTTTTTTTTTATCAATCTCAAATCTTGTGTGTCTCTAACCATTGTAAAAAGAGATTCTTTGTTGTATAGGGCAAACTCTCATCTCTGGCGGGTGCCCCCTGCCCCATGTGTGCTGGTTTTGGGTAAACGTATGGGATCTTTTGCGGGCAGAACCGATGGTAGCCGCCTTCTTCTTTCTACTCTCTCCCCTCCTCTCTCTGCTTGGTTTTCCCTGAAGTTGAAGATAAACCTTTGCTGCAAATGATAGCTGCAGTTTTGTGGATTGTGGGTTATTTTTGCTTCCTGGCACTCTGCTTGCAATTCTCAAGTGTGTGAGTGTGAATCACACTTTTATAATCAGAAAAGAAAACAGGAAAATCATTACAATCTGCTTTGAGCTTGGAGGTAGTTGGAAAATTCTTCAGAGGCCGTCTTGGCTTTAGAAGAAACTCTCAAGAGCTCTTTGGTCTCACCTGAAATTTACTTTGAAATTTAGAGGCTGACAAATTGCTCTAAAGGTAATCCAGTTTGGTTTTTTTTTTTTTTTTAACAAAACCTCACATTTAGCTTCTAATAATTTTGAAATGTGCACACGGATAGGCGGAGAGGCATGGTGCCCATGAACTCACCTGCTGATGGAGGCCCAGAGGTCGCTGCAGAGGGGAGCTGGGCTGGAGAAGGCCCTGGCCGTCTCTGCCCTGGCCCCTTCTCAGCCAGTTTGTGTGGACATTCAGTCTTTGGTCCAGATGTTGGCAAAACCAGAGGGGCAGACACCTTCCTGGAGTGGAAAAAATCTGGCAAAATGGTGCTGGCCTTCCACGTCAGCCGTGCAGTGTCAGCAGTGGCAGGGAGAAGCCTATGGTGTGGCTGGACTTCCTGGGAGCGCCCTCCAGCCGAGGCGGCACTGCACATGTGTAGGACGCTCTCTGAGACCCAGACCTGTCCCTCCCCAGGCTCCCCAGCCTCTCGGTTACTGCTGAGAACAAGGGTGGCTGGCTACTTCCAAGCTCAGGGAAGATGGGTGTTTAGGTTGAAGACAGGGCCTCTGGAGAGCTGTTTCCAAAGAGGGGGAGAGACGTGTTTAGGATGTGTACTCCATGCTTCCATTTCACCCATTGAGATTTTGTCTTTAGAAATGTTACATATGAAGAAGGTCACACATGTATGTCAGGGAGGAAATGGGTACCAGAG